CGCGGGCGTGGGCGGCGTGGGGAGGGGGAGCGGCGCGGTGGCTCCGGACTTGTTTACCCTGTGGAGACCTTGGCCTACGCGGCGGGAGGCAGTGGTTTCGTAAAGTTTTGCAAACAGTGTGCACCTTTAGCGATGAGGAAAATAATAGTAACTCCTCCTGGGCGTTCCCAGATGTTGCTCCGAACGCTTTACGTGGGTTAAGCTCCCTTAATGGTTGTATCCTTACCGAGGAGGCGTGTTCTTAGCTCGGTTTTACAGGTAGTGAGAAGCGAAGTCGGGATTTGGACTCCAGTACGCAGTTCCCGAGGTCCTGGTGTACCGTTGTTGTTGAGCATGTTCTGCACACTATTGGGGACAGTGGTTGCTTGTTCAGGGCGGCTGCATTGTGCTCCCGGAAGTGATTTTGGGGTTGATTTTCTTACGTGGGTGAATGGAGCAGGGAGGACATCGTTGTGCAGGTGTGATGAAGCGCCGGGGATGAATGCATTCTACATCTCTCGTGTGTGCAGGAGCTCCTGGGAACCTTGCCGGGCTGGGTGAGAGCCTGGTGAGGGGAGGGAGGGACTTTTGTGGAGATACCGAAGAATCGGCAGCATCCAGCTCCACCCCCTTGCAGAATGACAGTGCAGGGAAATGTGTAGATTCCTGATGCATCATTTTTATTTCACTGTAACGTCAAAACGGGATTTAATCAGCTCTTACTCATTTTCCAAACAATGGTGTGGTAGAGGGGAATTCGGCATCTGATTGAGAGGTTAGTAAAAGGGACTCTCAGAAAAAAAATGTTTTTTTGATTCCTGACAATGGATGTTGTATGAGGAGGGTGGGATATTTTTAGTTCAAACTTGCAGCAGCCCTGTGATACTGTTTTACTGTCCCTTTTGTAGTAAAGCAAACTGAAGCAGGTGAAAAGGGGGTCGTGAGAATACCTGTAGTTTACATTTGTGACTGGGTGCCAGGCACTACTCTGTATTCGATGTCTTCCTTAATGTCCTCACTCCGGTGTCTCAGTTTTCAGATGAGGAAAGTAAGAGAGGTAAAGAATTGCCCAAGACCAGTGGGCCTTGGACCTTGGGCCCTGTTCCTTTTTACTGACCGGCGCTACTGTCTTTGAGGAGCAGTGGCTCAGGGAAGCCTTCTGCCCGTCCCCTCTGGGAGCTAAAGTGGGCGTGTCCCGTGTTCTGAGTGGCTGTGCCTGGGTGGCCATGCTCGCGGTCCCCTGCCCATGGGTGTTTTGTAGTAGTGGGTAGAGCCCTAGGTGGCCGCCCCGGGTCCTTTAGGGCCCCAGGAAGCTGTGGGGTCTGACTCATAGCCTTACCCAGGGCTGCCTGTGACTCGGGGCGGATGTCTTGGTTGGGTCAGGCTGGCCTGACCTAGTGCAGCAGCACTGCGGGAGGCTCACAGCCTCTTCCCTGGTTGTTGTTTTGCTGTGCACTTGCTGTGATTTAGCCACCCTGGTCAGCCCTATTTGTCCTTCTAGAATGTCTAGTTTTTCTCACACACCTTTCTCTGGCTCTTCCCGTGGCTGGTTTCGCCTTAGCTGTCAAGCCTCAGCTCAGCTGTCACGTATTCAGAGGGGCCTTCCCTGACCTTTCTATGCAAAGTGACCCCCTTTTTCACTTCTGTCATGTTACTGTTTTATTTTTCGTATGTTCATCATGCTCTGAAATAAATTTGTGAATGAGGGAGAGTATCTGCAGAACTTCTCAGATAAGGGTGAGGGCAGGGATCCCTTTACCCTTCCCTGATGCTGGAGTGTTTGCAATGAGGGTCTGCTGGGTTTGCACAGCGGAGAAGAGAAGAAACTAGAATACTTGCGAAACTGAGGTGTAGACATGGGGAGGCAGGAGGAGAACCACAGTCTGCTCTCCCCAACTCCTGGGCATTGATTGTCCGGACATCGTGGCCAATGGCTCTCTGAGCCTGGTGCCTGGCAGAGCATGCAGAACATCAGCACTGTGCTTCCTCCAGGAAGGTGTAGTGAGATGGGCACGGTGCTGTATGCGCTACCCGGGAGCTGCTGTGAGCCAGCGCGTGTTGGGTGGGTGTGCTGGGCGACGACTGGAAAGGCAGTGAGGGCAGAGGGGGCCTTAGTGGACAGGGCAGAGGACTCAGGGTCGGAGGGGCTGGCCAGCTGGGCTGGGAAAGACCCAGGGAGAGGGCCAGTGTGCAGGTCTGTTGTGCCCATTAGCAACGTTGGGAAGTGGTGAGAGCAGTCAGTGCACACTCAGGAGTGAGGGAGGCCCCTCACCTCCTGCTGCCCCCGCTTGCTGAACACTGCAGCACCAGAGCCCTGGGTCCTGCAGCTGGCTGGGAGGCTCTCTGCCGACCTCAGACGCAGGCCTGGGTAGGTGTTGCCTCTGCCCCCAGCCCCTCCTGCCTCCTGGAGTGGGGGATTCGGTGGGAGCTGGCGGTCCCCGGCGGTCCCCGGGAGAGCAGGTGTCAGGGCCCATGAGGACGGTCTGCTTCTCAGTGCCCTCGCTGCCGTGGCCTCATGCCTGTGTGGCCTGTGCTGCTGTGTCCTCCCTGGTGGGTCCCCTTTGCTGTCTCAGATGTCTGTCCCTGTGTGAGTGGTGGGAACTCCGTGCGGTGAGGGCTCGGAGGGCAGGCCTGTGGTCCGAATTCTCTCAGTCGTCTTCAGCACCCTTCTGCTTGCCTGGGGCAGGAGCTCCTCGTGGAGGGCAGCCCCTTCCCCTGCACATTCATTCTTTCTGCTCCTGGGGATCCAGCCCAGGCCCACTCGTAGCCAGTCCTCCACAGTCCAGGTAGCATTCCCCTGCCTGCTGTTTCCCCTCATTGCTCAGCTGCCCACTCAGGGTGAGGGATTATGCTGCGAGCCCACGCGGATGGGTAGCGCCGTAAGAGTGGTTCTTCTGTGTTGCTGCCAACCCGCGAAAGTCAGGGCAAATCTTTGCTGTTTGCTGGCGTTGGTTTCCCAGCTGCAAAGTGAAGGCCCTGGATGGGCTGGTTTCTCCTCCAGCCCAGGGCTGGGATGCTGTCTCATTGGCTGCAGCTGGTCCTGGCTTCCTGACCCTGAGACCGGGCTTCTGTGCCCCTTGCAGAGTCCTGTGCTGCCCCTCCTATCCGCCTGCCCAGGGAGGCCTCAGGCTCTCAGGAGATTGGAGAGAAAGACAGAGGACGGCTCCCCTGCTCTGCAGTGTAGCTCCGCATCCCCCAGACAGACACTGGCAGCCAGGGCCACCCCTGTGGGAAGTTCACTGTTCCTCCTCAGACCTTCCCAGACAGTCGCCCTTTGTTGGAAATGGATGACTGCCGACAGGCAGCACCTGGGAGGCCCTGCAGGCGGGTGTGGGCAGGTGCAGCAGAGTCCTGTCGCCACAGAGTTCTGCTTGGAAGCTGGAGCTGGCATTTCCAGGGCAGGTGTGGGTGCCCAAGAGGCAGGAGCCTGCTCTGGGCTTCAGCCCCTCGGCAGTGTCCGTCCGCCCTGTGCTCCTGGGCCACAGGTTCCTCGGCCAGGACCTACATATGCATATGGCTGGCCGGACGTTGGTCCGGGGAGCCTGAGCCTCTCTTCTGCCTCCCGGCATGCCGACACTGACTGTGGAAGTACTGAGGAGTCTTTTGGACTCACAGGGCCCATTCATCCACTCAGGACATTGAGCATTTTCCATACTCTTGAGGTTTCTTCTGATCATCCCTCAAAGAAGCAGTGTTCTGAGTTTAGTCGTTATCATTCTTGTGTATTTATGGTTTCATTATAAATGTGTATATATCTAAACAATGTGTAGTATTGTTTTACATTACAAAATGGTATTTAAATGCTATCGTACATTCTCTATTCTTCCGGTTGCTTGTTTTACCTGACATCAGATTGGAGAGATCGATCCATGTTTGTAGGTGTCGCGCTGATGTAATTTTTACTGCTGCCTAGTATTCCTAAATATGGAATCACAGCATTTTGTGCTGTTTTGTTTTGTTTTGGTTTTGGTGGTTTTTTTGAGGCAGAGTCTCACTATATAGTTCAGTCTGGTCTTGAACTTGTGATCCTTCTTCCTCAACCTCAGGAGTGCTGGGATTACAGGTATGGCTAACATGCCCTTCTAGCCCTTTGCTTTTGAAATAGGCATCTGTGGCTTCTATCTGAGCACCCCTTCCCTGTCCAGCCTTTTCCTCCCTAGTCTTTCCTTGGCCATTATGGTGCCTGTTTGGGTAGCACTTTAAGGTTTACGGACAGCTCTCTGTCTTTGACCCGGTCCACACAACATTTCAGGAGAGAACTAATCCAAGTGAGATCTCTTCAGGGTCACTGAGGAGGAAGCAGAGCCAGGGCTGACTCCATTAATCCTCTTCCCATCATGTTTGATATGAGGAATAGTAAGAAATGAACATCTTCATTTTAGAGGAGAGAGGTTACAGGGTAGGTTACCCAGCGTGGCCTGTTGGAGACAG